GGAACGTGGGAGTGAAATACTTTTTTTCTTCAATTCAGAATCCGAGATGAAGATATTGTGGTTAGATTCCTCCTCATCAGAATCATCTTCAGAGGAGGCAACATCTGAGTTGGTATTGCTCCTTCCTTCATGATGAAGGTACAATCCGATTCAATAATTTCATTGTTCTACCTTTTCGTGTTTGGCTTGTCCATTCGTGTAAGGTGTTGCCAAAGGTTTTGATTTTCGGTATAAAATTGTCAAGACATGTCCAAATTATTTATTTCCTACTAATTGAATATCTTCCAGTCCGATTAAACGGACTGCAACACTTCTTGGCAAATAGTATGAAAGGATAATGAGGTGTGGTTTTATACCTGCAGTAGCTTGTGGAGTTTTTTTAAAGATTTAGAAATTTACAGATTAAAATTTTGGAGGGAAAAAGTTGATCCCAAACGGAGTTTATGTGCAAATGTGGGTAGTTTTGAATTATTACAAAAAGCGAATCATCATGATCTTAGTTGGCTTACTTTCTTTTAATAATGCCCAGATGCAAGGTACTGCGAATTGTTAGACTCAGCTTTATTTTATCTTGTATCTTAGTTATTTATTGTATGTGAGTTTCTATCCTAAACTCGTCAATCATGTGTCCGTTATAGTTAATAAAATATTTAAAATAATTTATTTTGAATTTTTTTAAAAATCAAAAAAATGGCATCACTCACTCATTGTACCTCCCGATCGGTCATTCACAGTCTCTTCAAGAAATACGATCAAGATAATTCCAATTCTATCAATATTTCTGAAATGAAGAATTTATTTGTTGCGGATATGGGAATTAACTTCTCCGATGATAATTTGATGGCCATTCAAATGTATATGGACAAGGATTCCGATGGTAAAATTTCCTTTGATGAATTTTTTAATTATTGGACAACTATTGTGAAGAATGATGAAGATATTGTAACAAAACCAGAGAGCAGTGAAAGATTATACCGATTGACCTATGCTGCACTCTTATTCAAGAATACAGACACAAGTGGAAATAGACAAATATCGAGAGAGGAATTTGTTTCCTTCTATCAACAATTGTACAATAATTATTCTGCAAATATGGCTGATATTGATTATGCTTTGAATTATATTGATACTGACAAGTCAGGTTCTTTGAGTTTCCAAGAATTGATTAATTGGTTGAGATGGTTGTAAATAGTTAATATTATTATTATCTGTGAAGTTATACTAATATTATAATTTATTTGTATAATTAGGAATATATACCTAGTAATTTATTTTTAATAGTATTATTAATCTTCTGCTGTTTTAATTTCAGAGAGAATAGTTTGGAATAATTGTTTGTATCCACCACCTAAATTGGAAGAATATGTGAGCGACCAAACATGATTTCCTGTAGTATTTACAAGTGCCTCGATATGTGTAATCTTTTTCATACTTTCAGGTGTGAGTTCTGGAGGATTTTTCAATTCATATTCACATTCTGATAGA